TGCAGTAAAAGTCTCCCAGCTTGGTTCCTGGCCAAAAGGAAACGGTGCTGGTGCTGTGCTTGTTGCTGGCATTGCTGGGCAGGGCCTAGGAGTGGAATTTGATGGTTTTTGCAGTCCTAATTACCCTGGGCTAAGTAAGACAGAACCCCTGCAAGGTATCCCCAACTCCTTAGGGCTTTTCAGCAGCTGGTGATTCAACCCTCTGCAGCTCTATCAAACATTTCCTTAAAGGCTTTGCAAACAGGAGGATGTTGATGTGCGTGGGGAAGGGATGCTGCCCTCCAACAAGGGGTCTGCTTTCCCATTTTGTTTTACTTAGGTTTTTAAAAGGACTGAAAAGATCAGACCCTCCAGGAGAGGAGGTGCTGGGCAGACACCGGTGGCCCACAGGGGTCTGTCACCCCATGCATGGCACTGACCCAGACACCGCAGATTTGTTTGCCACCATCATCACCTTCGACCCACTGGATCATCCCACCTCTTGCACGCTGCAAGCCCCAAAATTTTGTCCCCTTCACCCCAGGCTGGGTCCAACCCTGGCAAGGGAGATGCTCCCGCTGGTGTCACTGCACTGAGCACTGGCAATCCGGCCCCCCCCACCGACCCCAAGCTGCCTTAATCCATGGTCCTACTTAGGGGTCTGGGCAAAGATTAGCTGGGAACATTCCCAGCGATTAGGGTTTAATCGCTTTGACATTTCACATCTTCTTAGGCCTCGTAGGTGAGACCCCAGCAGCTGTAAATCCCCTCCGTCTTCCAGGGAGCGACAGCGAGGGCAGCTCCTGCGCCACTTGGGAACAAGCTTTACCCAGTTCTTGGTGTTAGATCAAGCTGCTTTGGGTAATAAATCTCCTTCTGCTGGAAAGGGAACGGCTATAAATAGTAAAAAATAGCAGGACCGCACCGTGTATCTGCTGTAAGTCTCCCTTTGTGCCACTTCGCATCTGGCTTGAAAGGAGCAGCCCACAACAGCTGTAGCAAAGCAAACGTTATGCCATGTGTAACAGCCGTACACATCACCCATTAGACAAGCCTGGCTGTCATTTAGGAACCAATTTATTTGAGTTTTAGGGTTTTTTTTCTGAACCGGACTCTTAGCTGACAGCAGAAGCTACAAAAATTATGTTGTACATTTACAGATATGTATAGAAAAGCAGGTAAATAAATACACATACACGAACACAAACAAACACAACACATGCCCTTGGTGAGTGCGAAAATGCAAA